GCATGTGCAAGAGAGTGAGTGGGGAGAGGGACAGAGGGAGAGAGAGAATCTTAAGCAGGCTCCACGCTTACTGTGAAGCCCAACATGGGGCTCGACCCCACAACCCTGAGATCATGACCTGAGCCAAAATCAAGTCGGTCACTTCACCAACTGAGCTATCCAGGTGCCCCTGAGAGTTTAAAGTCAAGTTATTTCACCTCTCTGAGACTCAGTTTCCTTATCTTTGCAGTAGGGACTATCATAACAACCTTCAAAGTTATCTTAAGGATCAGGTGAGGTCATGCATGCCCGGAGAGGGAGGGGCATGTTGACTGGCACCTAATGTGGGCTCAGTGGATGGAAGGTACAGGTTCACCATTTTGAAAAAGATCTCCAGCAGCCCCTTAGCTCCTCCCATATGGGCATACCACTGGTAAGGTGCAGGGTTTGGATCCCTGGAGGGAAGAACTTTCTTCTCCCCTGAGCTATGTAAAAAGAGGATGGGCTGCCTGGAATAGGTAGTGAGCCACCCATCACTGGAGGTGTGCAAGGGTCTTGGAGGCCTTTTGATGGGCATATTTTTAAGAAAATTCAAGCAAAAATGGGTGCATAATCAAGGTCTTTTTGATTGGCCCTCTTAGTTTTTGGATGCTGTTTCTTAACAAAACAGCTTTATTGAGATAAAATTCACAATATACAGCTCACCCACTTAAAGTATACGATTTGATGACTTTTAGTACATTCACAGAGCTGTACAAACATTACTGCGATCATTTTTAGAACATTTTTATTACCCTAAGAGGAAACCTGCACCACCCGCATCCTCCTCCATGTCTATAGATTTGCCTGTTCTAAACATTTCATATAAGTGGAATCATGTGGTATGTGGTCCTTTGTGATTGGTTTCTTTCATAGCATCATGTTTTCAAGGGGCATTTATATTACGGCTTCATGATTGCTTCGTTCCTTTTTCTTGCTGAATAATATTCCATGGTATGGATATAACACATTTTATTTACCCATTCATAAGTTGATGGGCGTATTGGTTGTTTCTGCTTTTTTGGAAGTCAGATGATCTTGGATTTGACTCCTTATCTCCCAACTTTTGTGTGCACGTTTTCATGTGGGGACATGTTGTAATTTCTCTTGGGTAGATATCTAGGGATTGCTGGGTCCTCTGGTAACTATGTGTTCAATCATTTAAGGAACCGCCACGTTGTTTTTCAAAGTGGTTGCACCATTGTATATCCTCACCAGCAATGTATGAGGGTTCCACTTTTTCCACATCTTCGAACATACTTTGTTATTATTTTTTTTTAATTAATTAATTTATTTATTTATTCATGAAAGTCAGAGAGAGAGAGAGAGGCAGAGGCAGAGGGAGAAGTAGGCTCCCCGCCTAGCAGGGAGCCCGATGCGGGACTCGATCCCAGGACCCTGGGATCATGACCTGAGCCGAAGGCAGATGCTTAACCATCTGAGCCACCCAGGCGCCCCATACTTTGTTATTATTTATCTTTTTGATTCTAAGCATCCTAATGAGTGGGAAGTGGTTTCTCATTTTGGTTTTAATTTGCATTTCCCTGATCGCTAATGATGTTGAACATCTTTCAGTGTGCTTATTGGCTATTTGTATATACATCTTCTTTGAAGAAATGTCATTCAGATCTGTTGCCCATTTTATAATTGGGTTTTTGTCTTTCTAGATATAAGTCCCTTAATCGGATAAATAATTTGCAAAATTTCTTTCATTCTGTGGGGTTTTCTCTTCGCTTTCTTGATGGTGTCCTTTGAGGCACAAAAGTTTATAATTTTGATAAAGTCCAATTTATCTAATTTTCTTTTGTTGCTTGTGCTTTTGGTGTCACATCTAAGATAACATGCCTAGTCCTAGGCCAGGAAGATTTATGCTTATGTTTCCTTCTAAGAGTTTTATAATCTGGCTTTTTGCAATTTGACCTTTGATCTATTTTGAGTTACTTTTTGTCTGTGGTGTGAGGTAGGGATCCAAGTTCTATCTTTTGCATGTAGATATCAAGTTGTCCCAACACCATTTGTTGAAAAGACTCTTCTCTTCTCATTGAATTGTCTTGACACCCCTGTTGAAAATTAACTGTAACTATGATAGCTAATTGTTTCTTTATCAGTGGGTCAATTTGAAGAAATGTGCATTACATAGAAGGTGTTTATACCAAGATAAATCCTGGCCATAGCTCTGCCATTGAGCGGGATCTTGGGTGGGTCTCTTTCTAGCTATAAGCCTCAGTCTCCTCATCTATAGAATGGCCCAGCTAGCTAAGAGGATTCCTAAAAAGTGGTCCAGTTGTTACATACTGAGACTCAGGGAGGTCTCTGCAGAATCTTTCATTGGCTCCTTGGGGTAACCCATCATCCTGTGAGCTCGGCCCTGCAGCCTGAGATCTGGAGCCAGTCTCAAATCTGAGGGCAGTTTCAGTGACTCCCTGGCCCAGGTTGGCCCCATGAAAGCCAGCCTGCCTTCCTGAGAACATCGATGTTCTGCTCAGTTAGTAAGCAGCACTGCCATCCTCCGTGCCAGCGATGCTCCAGGCCTGTGTGTACTGAGCAGATGAGACATGGCCTCCACCCTCGAGGGCGACAGGGTAATGGGAAGGTAGGCGCATCAACAACAATCATGGAGCCAGTGGGGCGAGCTGGTGGGTGCTGTGTACCGGGGGCTGCAGGTGCGAGGGGCAGCTGGTAAGGCCGTGGGCCTGGCCCAAATGCCAATACTCGCGCTAAGAAGTATCTGGAGAATGTTAGGTTGAGCTGTACAGGACATTCACGGTCTTTCATCCACCACCTAGCTGCGGCTGTTACTTTACTGACACCTTTGGCTTTCCAACCTTCCCTAACACGCCAGCCAGGTAGTACGGACCACTTGTCCACAGGTAAAGTGCTCTGGTTAAGGGGAAGAAGCCTCTGGAGCCAGTCAGCCAAACTGTCAAAGTTCCATTTCCAGCTTTGCATGCTTTGGGAAAAGTTATTTAAGATCTCTGTGCTTTGTTTCCTTATCTATAACAGGGGGCTGATAATAGCATCTCCTTTGTAGGGTACAGTGCAGAGAGCTAGCTCTGAGGAAGGTCTCCAGCTCTGACAGGTTGGAGTTGTGGGTTGGAACAATGTAGCATTTGCTCCCGCAAGCTAGGCGGGCCTCACAATGGCTTGTTATAACCCACGGCTCTTGCATGTTGTGACCTGGCAACAAAGTAAAATTAGCCTTTCCGTCTCCAGCACAGAAGATGATCATTATAGTCCTGTGCATTTGGATAGAGCGGGGCTTCTTGGCCACAGATAATTCCCTTACTAAGAGTGATTCTGTTGGAAAAAGTCCCAAGGTGAATCGGATGTGCCCTTTCCCTTCGTGACAACCTTCTAGTTTAAAGCCCAGAGAGGATGGAAGTCAGGTGGCGACTATTGCTTCCACTTTACCAACAAGGAGACTGAGTTTGGGAGCTGGTTGGTGGCAGTCTGCACAGGAACCTGGGTCTCCTAATCCCATTCTGGGGCCCACGTGGCCCAAGAGAAGGCTCTGATACTGGGTTAGCAGAGTCGCTGATGTCCCGCCTCCCACATCCCTGCCTTTCTCCAATTTTCCCTGAACCTGCAGCATGTGTCCATCAAGGACCAGTACAGCCAGAGAGATGCTCCTTCTGGTTCCATACTTCTTCCTTTTAGCGAAAAAAGAACTGAGCTAATAATTATCAAGTACCTGCTAAGTGCCAGTGGGAGTAAATATTATTCTTTATAATTTCCAGATTTACCTATCTGTTCACAAATATTCGTAGCACCTGCTGTGTGTCGATGTCTATCCCAGGTACCTTGATCAAGAGAGCAGTGATCAAGACAGGCAAGGGCCAGGCTCAGATATGCAAGTTCACGTTCAAAGGAGAATGGGCGGAGAGCTCAGTGCTGTTGGGGAAGTTGTTGATTTTCATCCTGTGGCAGCCACTGAGTGAGCTGAGTTGTGTGCAGGCATCCAGGTCCCTTTGGAGCCCAGCCCGTCTGGGAGCTCCAGGAGCACAGAATAGGGCCCCCCCCAGAACCCCTGTTTCAGAGCTCAGAGAGACCGTCGCACATTACATGCTTTTGGCTGTTGGTTCAGGGTTTGGGCCTCAGAACCACCGGTTCAAGGAGTCGGCTGGCACAGCCCTTGGAATTGGAGCGGATTCCTGTTGGCTGCGTGTCCCCCTGTCACTCAGCTCCTTACTCCTCTGGCCTTCAGCCCGCGGGCCAGGCTGGGAGCTGAGCCATCGAGAGCCTTAAAGGAGGAGGGGCCTGGGAAGCGCTCTTCAGAGCCGGAGAGCTTAGTAAGGGCACCCCAAGTACAGATGCAAGTCCATCAGGTGGTTGGCCTTTGGGGACTGCAGATTAAAACCATAATAAACTATCCCTGCCCACCAATTAGAAGAGGCTAAGATTGAGAAGCTGGCCGTGGAAGGATGCACGGGAACCAGAACGCTCACACGGCGCTGGTGGGAATGGACTGGGGTGAGGCCGCTTTGGAAAACAGCCTGGCAGTTTCGAAAAAATGTAAACATCACACCTACCATATGAGCTGGGCTCTCCACTCCTAGGTATTTCTGCAGGAGAAATGAAAGCAAATATCTGCACACAAGTGTTCAGAGCCGCTTTATTCATAAAAGCTGAAAACTGTCCACCCGTGGGGTCTGCGCAGACTGGGGGCTATTACTCAAGGCAGAAAGGAATGAGCCGTCAATATGGGCATCAGCATGGAGGTATCTCAAAGTAGTTGTGCCCCGTGAAAGAAGCCAGGCCAAAAAGAAATAAATACATACATAGGGCATCATTCGATTTATGTGAAATCCTCCAGAAAAATACCAGGTCATCTCCAGCGACAGTGCGCCCATCAGCGGTTGCCTGGGACAGCGTGTGGGCAGAAGGGAGGGATCAGAAATGGGATCAGGAACCTGGGGGGTGATGGATGTGTCTTTGTCTTGAGTGGGGTGATGGTTTTATGGGTGTGCATATCAAAACCTACAAATTGTACCGTTTAACGATGCGTTTATTCATCGATTAGACTCCCAGGAAAGCTGTTAAAAATGAAGGCAACCCCATCTCCAGTCAGTTAATCAATAAGATGAGTCTGACCCTGCCCTCCTTCGGCAAACTCCTCAACACATATGAGCAGTAAAACAGGAACAGCGTGGTCCAGCTGCGGAGTCCCATACTGGGTCCATGGCTTACTAACCATGCCGTGCCCCCCAAGCCCCCAATTTTCTTTCCGTGAGGTGGAACCAGTGATCCTAACTCCCTCCTAGGTCGGGAGGAGAACATGGGGAAATCCACAGAAAGTGCTTAGTAAACCTGTAATAAAAGCAAAGCATGCACAGGGTCCACAGGCACCCAAGGAAGGGAGGGGGTCATTGTGCAGGGAAGGAGGAAGCTGGGAAGGTCCCCACCTCTCAGTGGCTATAAGTGGATATTGGAAAGGAGAACAGGGGAGAGTCTGTGGGAAGGAGGTGTGGAGGGGTGTAGTAGGAAGGGACTTACCAGCCAGAACTAAGCTGGAGGAGGGGGCAGCACCCAGACTCGAAGCTCCTGGAAACCCCGACAGTGTGGTGCAACAAGGTGGGAGCTCCATCCTTGAGGGTCGCGAGGAGCACTGGCTTCATCCGCCAGTCCAGGGTTTCTCAAATTGGGACCTGAGGAAGATTTTTCTGGGGGCCACAAGTTGTATGAGAAGTTTTATAATTTTTGTCTAATAAAAACAAATTAAAAGTTAAAACTGTACATGTGGGGCCATGCTTTCAAATTGAGAGACGAAATTTTCACCTAGCAGAAAGCTCTCATTTCTAAAGTCCATGTTGCTAAGAGTGGGTTCTGAGACTGTGTTATATGCAGCTATGATTTTTCCTTTAGAGGTTTGCCATCACCTTATTCCATCAGGGAGCTGCCAGAAGTGGGGGGCAAGGCATGCGTCGTCGCTGTGGCCAGACTTCCTCCCATGGGCTACGTACGGTGTTATCAGTCCAGACAGTGCAGGGAGGGGGTGCCAGTTCTGGGGGAGGTGCTGCAGAAGGTCAGGCAGGTCTGGTGGGTTCGGGGATGACTGTGGGAATTGCCCCTCTCCGGGGAAGATTCCTTCCTGAGAGAAGGCGTGAGGCCCTGGGGACCTGACTTGCGCCTCGGCTTTGCAGGGCCAGTAAGAGGCCTGGAGGAGGAGCATGGGGACATCTGTCACGGCAAGGCTGTCACAGATCCCTTGGGAAGGGAAGTCAGGGCAGGTGCAGGGACAAAGGGCTGACATCCTATCCTGGCTTCCATCCCGTTGGGCCAGCTCTTCTCAGGCAGGGGCCTTGGAGGCTGGGGCAGCACCTGGGGCTGGCCTTGCTGCAGGCCAGAAGGAGCACTGTCCTCCTGGGTCAGAGCCTTGGGAGATGTCATCCATGGGGTTCTTGGGAGCGTGAGTGGTGTTTTTACCGCCGGAGCATGGGATTGAGTCACGGCCTGCGGTGTGAAAAGCCAACTCCCACCTAACGCTCTCTTCTGAATCAGAAGCCACGAGGACCACGTTGACTGGCCCGAGCGACCTCGTGCCTGTGGTCTGAGGCTCTGTGTCCCAGCCAGGTCGGACTGGTACTTGGACGCACTGCCCAGCGCTCTCTGACCTGCATCTGATGGCCAGTCCCTGCCTGCTTGTCTTCTGACCGCCCTGCCCACACCGCCAGCAGCTGACCATGACGCTGGGGACAGGGTGCCTGTCAGGACCGCCCACCCTCAAGATCCCTACAAGGAGCCCTCCCCTTCGAGGCCTCTGATTGGTACCCCCCCCTCCCCCGGCAGCCGGAGCCAAGCACACCTGTGCCCAGGAGCTGTGGCCCCACACCCTGAGCCACCTGCCCTGCCCCAGGGATGCATTCTGCCCACACCCCCTTCCCCCCCCCCCCCCCCCAGTTCTGAGTTGCCCCGTGCATTCTCTCCCCTCCCAGATATTTGCATTTGACCTTTGACCATGCTTAGACCGTGGGCAGAAATCTTGACGTCCTCCGGGCCGTGCCATCTGATGGAGAGCTTGGCTTTAGTCCGTTGAGAGGACTCGGAAATGCTGTTTTAGAGTCAGTGTCTGGGGCGGGAGCTGGGCCAGAGAACGGTGTTCACCGCCAGCTACCATTGATCCGTGATGGGCGGCCGTTTGAGAATCGCTCTCAGAGTCCTTGCTGTGAAGGCCGTCGCTGGCCCGTCCCCTTTGTGGCTGGAATTGTAAAGTGGACCCCACGACCCTGGCACGATCCGGGGTTTCCGGTGTCAGCATTTTCGAGGCGGCGGGCAGAGGGTGGGTTGCGGCGGCCTGTCGTCTGTGTGGCTTTGGGGCCGTCCCTTCGCCTCTCTGAGCCTGTGCTTCCCTCTGAGACGGGATAAAGCCCAGCATAGGTTCCCAGCTCTGGATTCAGCCCCCTTGGAGGCTGTTGAAAGATGAAATAAGACGGTGTAACACTTCTGTCCCCGCTCTTCACGCTTTGCTCTCAGAATCACCTTCTGCGCACGCCAGGCAGGAGAGAACCCCCCAGGGACATCCCGGGGCTCTGAACGACGCCCTGAACGGTGGCCGGGCCACATCATTGTCGGCTGGACGTAAACAAAAGAGTGTGTTCCCAGAATCCACTTGAAATAAGCTTTGGGATTAAAACCAGCTGCCTGCTCCGTTCCTGAAATTCCATCTGCGTCCACAGAGCAGCGGGGAATGAGTAAGGATGGAAACTGTGGCAGGGCAGGAATGAGTCACGGGGAAGCCAGGCGAGTCACAGAAGGGGCGCGCACCCCGTTCCCCGGGCTCTGGGTCAGCGTGCGGCGGGGGCCCCTGGCCAGGCCCGTGGAGCAGGCGTGGGCTGTCCCTGCCTGCAGGGCCTGCCACAGGGGCCAGGGGTTACTCAGGTCTGCATGCTGAAGGCTTCTAGGCTCCAGAAGGAATGCCAGTGGCCAGGCACTGCTTGACCAAGGCTGCCTGGCAGCAGGGGCCAGATCTCTGAGCAGAGGCCCGGATTTCCCCCTGGAGTGGCCTTCTTGGAGCTTAGATGTTCATCAGAGATGATCCGCAGAGGGCTGGTTGCCCCAGGCTCCCTGCACTGCGTGGGCAGCCCTCAGTGGGGCTTCAGGGGACACAGGCAAGGGCGTGGAAGCTGCATAGAACCATGGTGTTTAAAGAGCAAAGGCAAGTCCTGCACCTTCTACTTAACATCCCTCTGACTTTGGGCAACGTTCTTAGTATCACTGATCCTCAGTTTTCTCAGCAATAACGTAGGGGTAATAACAAGTCTCTCACCGGGGCTTTGTAGGATAAATGAGTTAATAGCCATAAGCCCTTCATCCTAGAGTCAGGCACACACAGAGTGGCAGATACTTGTTGCCTATTACGATTATTATACTTAATCCTGCATCCGCCACACCTTTGGCAGGCTTATTTGCCTTTCTGAGTCTGTCTCTATCTAATAAGTCCAGCCACATAACAGCCACTCTGTGAACCTGACTTTGCCCCTCTCTCTGCATGGGAGGGGTTCGTTGGGTGTCATGTTGTACGGTGTTCCCTAATGGAATCTGGTTAGGTCCGAAGCAGGATGCTTACGGCGTCTGGATCACCAAATGGCAAGCTGTATTCTAGTGTTTGCGCATTCCCAGAGAACGTGTTGGAGGGATTGAGGCAGGGGACTGTCCCAGCCTGGTCCTTACGGTGTCTGCCCCTTACCCGTGGCACCACAGAGCCTAGTCGGGGCCTCCTCCCTACAGCCTCAGCTCTGCGGGTCCCAGGAAGGGGAAGGAGGGGTCTGGGCCCACTGACCCTTCAGAAGATAGGGTTTTGAGCCCCGGTGGACAGTCAGTATCAGGCAGTTTTATTGGTGCAGTACCCGGCTTCTGCTGCTCAGTGGCTCCCAGCCCTTCGTCCCTCCAGTTTAGTGGCAAAAGTGGCCGATCTCCAGGCTCCCTCTTGTCTCCTGGCAGCTTCTCGGTTGCCGCACCCCTGCATTGGCAGGCCCCCGAGGTTTGCGGCTGGACTGAGTGGATTCGGCCCACCTGGTTGGATCCTGTCCAATATGGGGTCACTGCCTGCCCTGGGTCACTTCTGTCAGATGCCCCAGGGGGCAGGGAGTTGGACTGGGTTTTGGAGGTGGTGTGGTCCGTGAGACAAGCATAGACTACGGAATCTGACAGAAGGAGGTTCAAATCTCAGTGCCGAAGCCGTGGGTCTGTGTCTAGTCTCCGTGTTTGTTTGTTTTTTTTTTTTTTTCCCCAAAGATTTTATTTATTTGTCAGAGAGAGAGAGAGCACAAGCAGGGGGAGCAGCAGAGGGAGAAGGAGACTCCCCGATGAGCAGGGAGCCCGATGCAGGACTCAATCCCAGGACCCTGGGATCTTGACCTGAGCTGAAGGCAGACGCTTCACCAACTGAGCTCCCCAGACGTCCTAGTCTCAGTGTTCTTATCTGCGAGTGGAGAAGGTGGGGGCAGCCCTGGCCTCTGAGCCCCTGCTTTCCTGATGAGTCCCCACAATGTTCTAAGAGGAAGGTGCTGGTGGAGAGGAGGAGGCTGGGCTGAGCTCCCCCCACCACCCAGCAGCCGCAGTGCATAGCACGAGGGGAAGCCGGGCTTCTACCTCTGCCACCCCCTGTGTCACCTCCCTCTCAGGTCGGGGGGCCCCTGGGGCCTCGAGGCCAAGTGCCTAGCGTGGTGTAGGCCGTTTATCATGGCAGCCCTGTTCGTGCCCTTCTCTTCCCTTTGGGCTACATCCCGTTTCCAGCAAGCTCTACCCACCGCACACTTACTGACCATGTTTCGGCCCCTCGCTTTGCCCTGTGCCTGCCCCCTCAGCTCTAGTTACGCTCCCCCCTTTTGATCCCACAAGTCTTGCCAGTCTCCTCCAAATGTGTTGGCCTCCCAGACTTACGGCTTTTGCCCCGAGTTCCATCTGAGCACATGATCTGTCCTGACTCGGCTTTATTCCCACGCCCTGGCCCGGCTTGTGTATCGTCAAGGCCAAAATGTCATTTCTCTTCCAGCCGTCGTTTGTAACCACTCAGGACGCTGGAAGCCAGGGCAGTTTGCTTTCGCTCTCTTTCCTCCGGCAGGCAGACTTCCCTCAGGGGCCCTCCTGCAGCTGCCCCTCTCCGCCCTGACCCCCAGCCTCCGCCCACCCCCTGTGAGGGCGTCCCCCCTCTACCCTCCCTGGCCAGGGTCACCTGCCGGAAGCTCAGAAATGGTCGTGTCCCCCCCACATGAACCCTTGCTGGCTGTTGTCCCCCAAGGGCCTGGACATGGCTCCGGAGCCTCTGATTTGGCCCTTGCACCCCACCCCCTACCCTCCACCCCTGCCCCCAGCCCAGCTTCCTCTGGTCACCTCCTCCCTGTTCCCATGCTCCAGCCTCACCATCCCCCCGCCCCCTCCCTGCAAGAGCCTCCCCACTGCCCTCAGGGAGCAGCACCTCCCACCCAGCCCACCTGCTCCAGATCAGGTGACAAGCCCTCCTTTGCGGCCCTATGGCCATTGCCTCTTAAAGCTCACGTGGGTCTGTCCCTACCCCCTCCCCACTCCAGAGCTGCACCTCTGCCCCTGGCTTCCACAAAGGGAAGTCCATGAGCTTCCCACTAAGCTTGCAGTGAGGGATGCCTTCCTGGTCCTTAAATCAAGGGTGGATGGGCTTTTCTTGAGCTGCCCATTGGATTTTTAACTAAAAACTCTCAACCTTGCATCACAAAACAGGCTCTCCTTCCTGCTGGCTGTGAGAAGGTGTAGAGCAGGAAGACCCCCCCACCCCCCAAGGTCTGGGTACTGAGAGGGAGCTCCTGGGGGCATTTAGGGGCCAAAACTTGGATGGGAAACTGGAGTCTTATTGCTGCTAACCTCTAGCGGGTGGCGGTTCCTGCACTTCATGCCGGAGGCAGAACCAAAGCAAAGCCCCCTCTCCGTTACCAGCGCTGGTAACTTTGTCACCGATATTTTTGTGCTGCATTGCGGTTGTAGGTATCTTGAAATGTCCTTCCTGCCCGTCACTGCTTCAAAATTAAGAGAGTGATCAGCCCCATTGTTAGCTCTTGTGATTTAATGTGTTAATAAAAAAGTGTGTGTGCGTGCCTGTGTATCTCATTAATTTAGTCTTTTGATAACTGGCTTTTTTAAAGATTTATTTATTTATCTATTTATTTATTTAGAGAGCAAGAGCAGGGGGAGGGGCAGAGGGAGAGGAAGAGAGAGAATCTCAGGCACGCTCTCCTCTGAGCACAGAGCCCGACTCGGGGTTCGATCTCACGACCCTGAGATCATGACCTGAGCTGAAACCAAGAGGCAGACATTCAGCTGACTGAGCCACCCAGGTCCCCCGATAACTATGTTTTCATATGATTGGTTTCCTTTGTAATTCTTTGCATTTTATTGTTGGCATTTCAAGCCTTTATTCAGAGAAAGTCCACAGAAGTTAAAAGCTGTCCCGCTTCCCTCAAAACCCCCACCCTGGCATGAGCTCATCCATCTGCGGCCCACGCGTGTTCAGGGTTCAGCTTCTCTCCCGTGAGCTTCTTTTTTAATTAAAAAAAAAATTTTTTTTTTAAGTTTATTTGAGAGAGAGAGCAAGCGAGCACAAGCAGGGGGGAAGAGGGAAAAGCAGGCTCCCCACTGAGCAGGGAGCCTGACGTGGGGCTCGATCCCAGGACCCTGAGATCATGACCTGAGCCGAAGGCAGCCGCTTAACCCACTGAGCCACCCAGGTGCCCCTCTCCTGTGAGCTTCTTGAGACAGGCCTAGCTGGGAGCGTGTGTGGCACTGACTGGGAACGAAATGGTTGGCAGAACGGGCCTTGCTGCCCCGGTCTCCTGGACTCTGCCTGCAGGCTCACTGAGCCCAGCTTAGTGAGACCCCTTGGCGGAGCCCTGCCCCACCCCGCTGGACCCCACATGTCCCATTTAGTGTACCTCGGGGTCTGCAGACCACCCTGCCTCACAGGCCTTGGGCATTTGCCGCCAGGAGGGCTCTCCCAAGCCTCTCTTGGCCTTTTGGCGATTAAGACAGTGCTTCCTCGCTGTCCTGCCTTCAGAAACTCTGGGAGACTCCTTTCTGTCCCTCCCATGCCTTGCTTTTGGAAGCCAATCAAGTCCCACACTAGACGGGAGATTAAAGACACAATGAACCAATTTAAACGCCCGCACATTCTAATGAGCTTTACAAACGGAGCACTCAAAGACAGGGAGTGGCTTCGGGGAACATATTAAATTGTTAGAAAAAAAAAAATTGCCTGGGT